TATGTTCCCCATGCCGCGAGTCCTGTTTGCTATGGCAAGAGATGGACTCCTGTTTAAATCACTGAGCAACGTCAGCTCCCGCCAGAGTCCTGTTATAGCCACGCTTGCATCTGGCGTCGTGGCAGGTAAGTTAGCAGACTTCAACTTTGGGAACGTTTTCTATTTACTTACCCTGAGGAATTAAGGACAATGAAAATGCATCTGAAACCATTATGAAGATTTCAAATATTAACTGCAATCAACTTTTCGATTAATCTCCGAAGACCTATAACAAAATGATTATTGAAGCCATAGTGAAAAAGTCTCGAAATAGCAATGTAATATTGACACATTAATAATTACACCACAAATGCACAAGTACTACAAAATTAAAGCAAATGCTCTGCCATGTTTTTCAGCAATCATGGCCTTATTGTTTGACCTAAAAGCACTAGTTGACATGATGTCAATTGGGACTCTATTTGCTTACACGCTTGTGGCAATTTGTATTCTCATTCTTCGGTAAGTACTGGACAGGATTGTCTGTCCCTGTTAACAGTTTTCTATGTTAGGCCTTGTCCACATGTACATGAGAATTTTTAAAAATCGGTGTTTTTCATCCTCCATTACTAAAAAGAATCCCAAACACTGTTTTTTTTTTAAATCTCCATCCACATGAAAATGCTAAAAACACAGTTAGGAGCAAACTCACCTGAGGTAAACAGAACGGTGCACACTCTGACGTTACAAGCCAAAAACACAAAAAAGTCAATGCTGAAAATGGAGTTTCTAAAAAATCTTCACCCTGGACAAAGTTTTGGAAAAGCTCAGATTTCAGTGACGTAAAACACAGCTTGCAAGTGGACAAAAGGCAAAAACACATAGAAAAACCTGCGTTTTAAAAAATACCCATGTATTTGTGGTCAAGGCCTTAGTGCCATGAACCCATATTTGTGTCTGCACATGCTGCTCTTCAGCTGCATGTTGTGCATTTGTTCTGTTCTTTTAGGTATCAGCCGGACCAATCTGAATACTCTAAGGATACAGATAAATGGGAATCAAGCTCCAAGTTTACATTTTTAAACCCACCACCATTGCCAACTGCAAAAACCTCCTTAACTGTATCAAGCTGTATGGTCTCAATTGGTAAGTAGAAGAACCTTGATTCATAAAAGTACCTGTGAACTATTGACATCAGGAAAGAGATTGAGAACTAATTTGGCAATATTATGTTGTGCAATCAGTCATTACGCTTACAGTACGTTTTTTCAGTGCCAAATTAATACAAATGGGATTTTATGCTTATGCTAGTATTTCTGAGGATATTAATGTGATATATATATTTGCTTTTCCAGTTGCCCTTGTAATTTCCATCAGTGTTATATTAACCAAAGCAATCGACTCCTTGTTGAACAAAGAGATTTGGAGTATAGTGCTTGTTGCATTAATCATACTAATCCTGCTGCTTGCTGTTATCCTTATCTGGAGACAACCACAAAGTCCGACCAAGGCCGCATTTATGGTAAGGAACAGCTAGCTAGTGGATTGGTTCATAATCCTTTGCTTCGCACTTTTGTGATACAAATAAAGGTGCTCGATACGTACTTTTCAGGTATGGAATGTCTTTGTTTGTAGGTCCCATTTTTACCGGTCCTTCCTGTGTTGAGCGTCTTCGTCAATATTTACCTTATGGTGCAGCTGGGAGGTGATACCTGGATCCGCTATGCTATCTGGATGGCAGTAGGTAAGACACCGAAACTGAGTGCGTGTTTCACGGCCTGGATTAAACAGCTGGGATGGTAATGGCTGAAGTGCATCTGTGTTGCTTTCCTGTAGGGCTCATCATCTACTTTGGTTACGGGGTCCGTCACAGCGTACAAAAGCAGCGGCTGCTGAAAGCACAGAACCAGGCCGCTGTTCAGGTCCACGCTCAGACAAAACTATAGCCGGGGGAAGTCGGGGGGGAAAGGGCCAAAGTACGGTTTCCCATTCTGTACTTCGTGGTAGCAGGTTATATAATAACCTGGATGCATTCTTCTGGAGCTTTTTTGTATTTGGCATATATTAATGAATATGTTTTATTGTTAAATGTTTTTGGAATGTAAAACATGTGAGGTGTGCATGTGAAAAATGTTAATCACTTTACACACCTCAAAAATTGCAGCGGTTTAACAAAACATCATTTAAAGCATTTAAAGGATCGTACAGCTATGCTTTATGGAGACGTAGGTGTGAAAGAATTTCCATTTATTTTTATTTCTTTTTTTACATACTTGTCATTATAACTTATTGCAATATGCTATAAAACTTTTTAGACTTTGGAACACGTACTATACAGAAAAACTTATTCTGCAGTACAATGCATTGTTTCCAGTGAATTCAGTTTTTGCTGTAATCCATGGACAATGTGACATCACTTGTGGGAAAAATGTACTGAAGTACATTTCAGGAAAGTGCACGTGTTCAAAAAAAAGTGTTTTTTTAATGTACACATTTTATTTACACTACAGTGTGTACTAAATACACTATTTTGGAACAACTTATTTGAATGTAGGTATATTTAAGTTGTACTTTATTTAAATTTTAATATAAATGAAATATATTAAATGCTATTTTACTATGCTATTTTGGGACACTTGCATTAAAATACAATTAAGTATGTTCTTCAGGATAAATGTAGTAGTAGTACACTTTCGAAATGATTTTTTTTAATGTGTTAAAGGTATATATATTTAACTACAACTTGTGTCTATATTACATTTAAAGGTCACTGAAAGACATCTAAAAATGCACTCATGTATGGAAGATTGAAATATATGTTATTGATCTTACAAAGTGTATTTCTAAGAAATGTTTTCCAAACATACTTTTTAAGTGTTTGTTAGTGTACTGAAGTACTGTTAGAAAGACATAAATGGTATGTTAATATATAATCACACTTAATGCTCAATCCCATGGTGTTTCGTTGTTAAAATTAGGAAAAATATAACTAAATACACTGTTGCCTGAAGACCTTTTCAATCTGCTTTTCTTCAAATAAAACGCACTACAAATGCACTCAGTTGTTGAGTTTGATTGTATGACACTGGATTCAAATTTGCCCCAGTCACCCACACGACCAATCAAATGACTAATAGCTTCTACTGAGCCACTCAATACAGAAACCAAAGGGGTAAAAAAACAGTTTGGTCCCATCTCCACATTCTGCAGACCTTTCCTGGCAGAACTTCATTGCTTTTTTTAACAGGACAACAGACTGCACCTGAAATCAGTGTCTGAATGGTAAAAAGGAGAAAGAAAAAAATAATCTCTTGCCAAACTGATGCTTGAGGAATGGTAAAGTTCTGTTTTATGTGGCTGACTAACAGTCACTAATGGAGTCATTACTTAGCGTAAACGTGTAGTGAACGTAAGTGTATACATGTGAAAAATACACAAACTTAAATTGAATAATAGAAGTTAACCTTTATTTTATAATAAAAATAAATGTAATTAAAAAGTAATTAATAAACTGAGGGCACTTACACCATGGACAAAAAACAATAAAATGTTGGACGATGTCTTATTCACTTATTAAATTCTGTGATTCATGATGCAATTTTTTCAGGTACCTGAAAAGGGACATTTGCATGGTATTTAATGAACAATTCCAAAATTTTTATCATAAGATGATGAAGTTTCTCTTTGCAAGCTCATCTTGTCAGGAACAACTGCAATGCACTCTTTTACAGATCTGATGAAGATGCTGAAGTTAAAGAGAAAATAGATGTTATAACATTTTAAAAGTAGGTTGCAGTCATTTGTGTTCTCCAAAAAATAAACAAATTGAACAAAAAACAAAAAAACCTTCCATTTTAAACTCCAGCCCATGTTGTACAGTCCTAGAGTCGGGAGTGGTGATCGCCAAAACGATGCTTCATGAACCATTTGCTATGTTTTCTGACCCCACTAGATGGTGCTCTTGGTTTACTTTGGGCCATGCTTTAAGTTAAATAGTGGGGCCAGGAAGTAAAGCAAATGGTTCATGAAGCATGGTGTTGCCCATCACTATTCCCCACTCTAGGGCTATTATATTTTTATTACACTTTTATTACACTTTATTACACTTCTAGGCACACCATTAATATACTTCTGCTTTTTCCACAAGGGATGTTATGTGTAATCAGCACCATTGGTCATATCACAGTGAAGGAATGGCATCTGTGTTAGGCCCCCAGGCACACTGACGAGGTCACAGGTCCCTATTGAGGGGGCAAGGTAAAATTTGTCAACTGGGGAGGATTGTATTAAATAACATTAGTTGAGGCCCCTGTTTAGCAGAGACCCCTGAGTGTCAGCCCATGTATTAAAGCTCCCCTGATTAGGTCTATACACCTCATACAAAAGCCCATTACACTCTGTAACTGATAACTCATTTGCTAACATGGGAAATTTTTGCATATATCATTATGCATTTAAAATCCCTGTCCAAACTCAAGGACACACGCTGGCTGTTAACTGACAGATTTCACAAACAAAGATTTCATAAACACACATATACATTATGGCTGTAAAATGCCTTCTTTTAATACTGCTCACTCATGCATTCGTGTAAAGAATGCAAAAATGTGTATGTATGGCATGTGTAGATCTGACATCGACAAAGTTTTTAACATACAGTTGCAGAAAATGACTAAAATGCAATAAAAATATTTTGAGATTTTAGAAAATCCAGCCTTTAGAGAAGTATTTGGGTGTATTTAATATTGCCTTCAATGTAGAAATAAAGGTTTGAAATTTAATGACAACCCAATAAATGATGAATTTGGCAGTGTATGGCTGTACTGAGTATACTCCTGCAAACCATTCCTGCTATACAAACATCCTGTGCTATTTCAGGGGCGGTGCAAGCCGCCTCCTGTGATTGGCAGGGTTACCCTTGAATGGGGCTATTGAATGTACCACATGGAATTTGGGGTGTTAGTGTCATTCTCTTGTGCGCAAGGAATTTGTGAGAAGGCAGTAAACAGCTGACCGTTTGCTTTGCATTCCCTCCTCCCCCAGTGCAAAGCTCTTGTATTTCTTCTAATGCTGTGAGAAATTGGGACACTGTTTTGGAGGACCAAGGGTTACGGCTTATACTGCTGGATTTAATCTGTCAACTATGACGCTGAAGCTGGTTCTGAGTGCTTTTATCATCACTGCTTTACTTCTCGAACTTGGTAAGTGTCTTTTTTGGGCTTTTTGTCATTGGATTTGCCCTCATAATCGCAGGACTCATTGAGAACCATACAGGAAGCCACTGTCTATAATGTATTAATCTGAGATCACATTGATGTCCTGTCAGCTCTTATATTGTCTATCTTTCTTTGCGTTCATCATTTAGCAATTGAATATCTATCTTAACATACAATTTAGTGCCTAGATATGTTCTTTAAATATATTTAACCTTGTCTGGTGCAACATTAGAGAGTACAGTATGCACTACACTCCGTAGAGATGCTAGAACCCATGGATGTATAGCACAGCCTGGCTCTGCTGGTGTCTTCTGTGTATAGGGCAGTGCCAGAAAAAGGAAGACAGTAGCCCCAAGAAGCTAGCAGTGCAGAAGTCCAAGGGGAAGGCAAAAGGCCGAGTTAGTGCTGGGGGGGAACACAAGGCCTCCGCATCCACGGCGGAAGCGAAGCCAGAGCCAGCCCAGGTGCAGACCTTCATCACACAGGTCCTGGAGAAGGGCAAGTTCCAGAGAGTAGGGGACATGCTAACGGTTCCAGCTGGACACGTCCTGGAGCTGAGATGTAAGGGAAAGCCAGTGCAGTGGGGTGTCCCTCAGTACGTGGAGGAGGAGAACGATGGCCGACTCAGGTAACATCCTGCACAGATTGCTGGCTTTTTCTCATCATTGTCATACATAGTCTTCAATAAATAAGCAATGAATGACGACCATATTTGGCGCTATGATGTAACGGGTGGCACTGCTGCCTCACACCTTTGGAACCGGGGTTTCAGTCTCCACTGTTGTTCTATGTGTGTGGAGTTTGCATGTTCTCCCTTGGATGTTGTGGGGTTTCCTCTGGGTACTCTGCTTCCCCCCCCACACACACACACAGTCCAGAAACATACTGAGGTTAATTGGAGTTACCAAATTCTGGGTTGTTCCCTGCCCATAAGCTCCTGAGTCCAAACTCCAGTTGTCCATCAATGACCCAAGAATCAAGGAAGAGAGAGCTCTTCCAAAAATGTGCTCTCTTTGGCAGGATCACCCACCACGAGCGGCACGGGACCCTGATGTTAGCCAACAGCACAGGGGCGGACACTGGGGAGTACACATGTTATCCTATGTACTGCGAGGACAAGGACTGCAGAAAGGAATATGACAAAGCAGTCCGGGTCTTCATCTTCTTTTCTGGTAAGAAGAATGAGGAGGTCTAACACTAGTAATAGTGTGAAACAACTGCTTAAAGGATTATGTGGTATGTAGGATTATGTAGATTATCTAGAATTGCTTAAAGGATTATGTCGATTATGTATTAATGACCTTTACATTAATACCGATGGTCATTACCCTCTAATCAAGGTGAAAGACTCAACGCTAACACCTGCAGCACGTCAGTAACACTTCACTTGATGGGGCACAAATAATATAGAACTATGCTATTATGTGATAATTAACCACAAACTAAGTCTTAGTTAAATACTGATCCCATGTCAATTCATAATTAATGATTAGTGATGCATGTTTTATCTCAAGTAATTACTAAATTTGTTACTATATCTGTTAATTCTGTAAACCTTTGTGAACCACTGAAGGAACAAGTCATGAATAACAAGTGAAATATTCATTAATATTCTCATTAATGAATCGTGACACATCTTTTATCTCAAGTAGCAGCTATATTTTTTCATGATTTGTACTTCAATAGTAATGGAGTTATTAATTAGTATTTGTGCCAATTGTCAAGTAAGTTGTTACCCTGCATTCGATAAAATGTGTTTTTTTTGCTCCGACTAATGTCGGCTCCTATGTTACAAGTATAGTGTTGGTCATATAAAGGATATGTGAAGCATTCGATTTACCTCATCATGTGTTATGAGGGACACCTGCTTTTAATTACATCTATAACCATTTCCTTTTTGACGAGTTTCCATGTTGTGTGCATATTAATCCCAGATATTCCATTTCTGAACTCCAGACCTCCGTGAGCTGTTTGTCCCCTCGGCCCACTACTACGAGGTCATCCAGCTCCGCTCAAATCGTGCCACTACACTCCCATGTCAGGTGACATCACCGCTGGCCCAGGTGACGTTACACCGTGAGTTTCCCCCAGAGGAGGTGAAGGTCGACGGTACGGAAATCTCCTTCGATGTGAAGAAGGGCTTCACCATCTACCGGCCTCGGCCTCACCACGCAGGCTCCCTCTTCTGCATCGCCAGCCTCAGAGGCTTGAGGCAAAGTTCCACCAAATATATGCTCATCTATGTCAACTGTGAGTCCCACCCCCCCATGTTTCTGGTCTGATCAATAACACCTGAGAAAATGATGTCACCAGGATGACATGGTTGAATTCTTTACTGCAAATTTTTCTTGCAGGTGGATGTTAAATTCATGACTTTGGCATTTTTGTCCTTGCTAGATCCTGTTTCCCCTCCATCTCCAGTAATCAAAGCTTCGTCCACCTCTGTCCATATCGGAGAGAACCTACAGGTCTCCTGTTCCGTGGTGGGGGAAGCAGATGTGGTGATTGATTTCACTTGGGAATTTCCTGGGCAACAGGTGCTTAACCTACAAAATGTGCACACTTTGTTTAGCTGTAAATCCTTTGGCACTTAGAAAGTGAACTTGATGCAGTATTTTTAACTCTTTGCTCTCCCTGTGGTTGTGTTGTTTTGGCCGGGCTCAGATCGGCAGGCCCCTCTACACAGAGGACGGCGTCCATCCCATGCGATCTGGGGGTCAACTCCGCCAGCAGTCTGAGTCCGTGCTCCTGGTGGACGAGGTGAGGGACGTAGACCAGGGCAAGTACAGCTGCACTGCTCAGAACTTGGAGGGCTCCCGCACTGTCTCCACCATGGTCAAGGTGCTTCCAGCCCGTGGTTCTGCCAAGCTAAAGAAGCTGTGAAGCTGTGAAGCTGTGAGCCCCAGCTGCTGGAACTTCGCATTTTTCATCTTTCCACGCATTCAGTGCTTAGCCTGGACATGGAGTTTAGACCTGGCTGTTTGCATCTTTTTTCCTTTATTTAATGGAATGCATTCATGTAGTTTAACTTTTTGTTGTTGTTGCTGTTGTTGCGGATGAAGCTTTTGTGTAAAGCTTTTCTGTTGTGGATGATGATTTTGTTCTCTTTGAAAACTGAAATTCCAAATGAATCAAGTATATTGATCACACACTATTTCATAGGAAAATGTACATTTCTAAGTAAAAGGTGGAAAGAGATAAAAAATAATTAATTAATACAATCGGTTGGACCTACTTTTCTCAGAGGAACAGTTTTAATGAATTTTGGGATATTTAAATGTGCAGATTGAGACAAAACTGAAATACCAGCCTTGTCTAATGAGATCAATAGATGCCTGACTATGCCTATACAGTCATCTGGACTACATGACCACACAACAGGCCACTGACGTCGCCCCAACGGGGTCTGTAACACAAAGCAGGATTTCTTGCTGAGTCGTACATGTCAGATTTAAGGTAGTCTGGGCTAAACATACGTGAATGAAGATAAAGTCCATTTCAACTGGGGGCCCTTAAATCTGACAAGTTATCCAGCTAAGCAATAAATCCTGCTTTATGACGCAGGTCCAGGGTACTTATCAAATACTATATGTCATGTTTTGACCTGGCCACAAGAGGGAGTAAGAGGACAGCTAAAAACTGGCCCCAGTCAGCCAGTGTATGGGTTGATTTTCTAACTACTAGTGAGTGACTGTACCTGTATCTAGTTAGGTTGTCTATTGAAGTTACTCTCTGCTCAGTCCATTTTGGTCAATCTTGGGCCTTGGGTAATGGGTGTTGGTGTGGTTTTGCTATTAGCCAGTGATTCGTTTTTATTTTTATTTTTTTGAGTTCCACTTATGGTTCCAGTTTACTCTTCCTTTCCTGGAAGTTGTTGCCCCTAGTCATAAATCCCTTGTGTAGACCACTTGGAGGACTATAGTAAGTTGAAAGCTTAATTTCATCACTTGCTCTTTATGCATGTTTGAGCGTGGGCTAGTACTCTGCTACTCGACTCAGGGCAAACACATGGAGAGACCTTTCTGGGGCCTTTGTGGCCATTCCAGAGTATGCAGCTGTACAAACAACAAAATGCAAGTAGCTTCTGTTCCGTTTTTCTCTTGAGTTTTTGTATCTGTAATTTTTATGTACCTTAGTGCTGTATGCAAACGGGACCAATAAAGTATCATTTTACTTTACCTTTGTAGACAACCCAAAGCTAAATAGAAAACAACATTTTCAGAGTAATTAGCTGAGGGAAAAGTTATCACTGCATTAGGAAAATGCAAATGCAGAGCACAGCTCCATAGCAAACAGGACAGGCTGTGTGTGCATGTAAAAACAGGCAAGTACTAGTTTTTATATTTAATATAAAGAATATGTGTGATGCGGATAATATTTTGAGTTACAGCATAACATTCAGTACCACAGTTGGGCCAGGGGGCAGCTTTTACCCCGGAATCCTCCTTGTGCAGTTGGGTCTCTGACTCTCCGCAGGCCAGCGCCAGGTAGGGACAATGGCTTCCCTCACTTCTGCTGCTTTAACCCTCAACACGGGAGCCCCCAGGGATGCGTGTTGAGCCCGGTCCGATTCCCCCCGCATAGCCAACATCGAGCGGCCCCTGCCAACACCAGAATATTCATCCCATTTTCCCACAACATCACGGTTGTGACTGATCTCCACTGATGACGACGCAACCTATAGAGAGGAGGTCAGCACCCTGACACAATTGCGCGAAGATAACTTCTCACTCAGCGTCAATAAGACTGAGGAGCTGGTCGTGGACCAGAAGTGGAAAACAAATCACATCCATCATCATATGCAGCACTGTCTTGGAGGTGGTCAGCACCTTTAAATTCCTTGGTGTCCATATCTCCATAGACACGTCATGGTCTTTTTACACTGCACAACCCTCAATCGCAAAGCCCTGGGTAGTGCAGTGTGGACAACCCAGGCTCTGCGTAGTGCAGTGTGGACAACCCAGGCACTACTGGCAGTGAGGTCCCCTCCCTCTGGGACATATACACCCAGAGAAGCCCAGGTAAGGAAAGCAGATAACACTGGTCCCTGCCATCGATGTCACTAGCTGTTTGAACTTCTAACATCTGATAGCTGGTACCAGAACATTAGATCCCATACAAGCAGACTATGTGATGGTTTTCTTCACCAAACCATAAGATTGTTGAACAGTTATCATGCCTAAAGCCCCCCTTCTACAATATCCATTTATTTCTCACACTTACTAGTCCAATGTCCCTATTTATATTTGTGCTTGTTTACGACATTGCAGCATTAATATGTATTACTGAGTACTGTGTACTCTGATAGCGCACTGCGGCTCAGAACATAACAATTCCATTCCATTCACTTTTTTATAAAATGTAAATCATGAGGTGACAATAAATCTGGATCTGAATCATTTATATGTATATATCCTTTTGGTTTAAATGTATCTCAGTTTATACAATAAAAGCCTTAAATGAAATTCTCCTTCAGCGGATATGAAAAGAGCTGCTGGATTAATTTAGCAATTTTGTGAAACTACTGCTTTGATTAAAAGCACCGGTGCAGACATTTATTTAAATCAGCCCTGAAGTGTTTTACATTCCATTCATTTGCTACCGAGACAAAATATATTTTTAAAACCAAGTTCAAAAAAGTTCTCTGTCTATGGAGTCTAGCTGAATACCATATATGTCTTTTTTAATGGTTTATGTATTTCGAAGATGAATACTCAATGGAAAAAATGGGAAAATTTATGAAAGCCAAAAACAAAAAAACTTGTTTTTTTTCCCCTCATGTACCCTGTTAAGTCTCTTAATATTAAGCTTTCACCTGAATATTGTGTATGGCACAGTGGCACAGTTGCCATATACCTCCGGGTGGTGTTCAACAAAACAGGATTTCTCAGTTAGCTGGGTTAACTTAAGACAGAAGTCAAGATTGTCCAATAAGAACAATACCTAAACTCTTATTGGAAAAGCATGCCTTCTAGCTTAAGTAGGCCCAGCTAACGGAGAAATCTTTGTGGGACACCACCCCCCTCCAGGTTTGAAGGTTTGGGTCCTGGGTGTAGAGATGGCAACACACAGTTTTGGTGACTAATGCCCTCCTGTGGCCAAAGTCATGCACTGAATGAATGGCAGTGCCAAGGCCTTGCGGGCCAAATTCTTTCAAACAGCAGTATTGTATTGTAAACAATCTTATCATAAAGTAATATGAAGAACAATGCCAATGATTTTCATTACAACTGTTATATGTTTATAATATATTAATGATGTACTTTTATGACTTGGTTTTTAAGGTCAATATGGCATGAATACGTATTAAAGAATTAAAACCCTGCCTTCATCTATAAGCTGCATCTTGTCAAACATCTATAAGATTCTGATATACGACATATAATGCCAGGTTTAAACAGCGAGGTAAAGTCAGGTTCTGTTTAGTTAGATGGTGTGGTATTATGTTCATTCACCTTACTTCTGTTTAAAGATCGAGTTGAAGCCAATAGAGGATCACAGCCGCCTATCATGGTCTGAACTGTACTTTGTACTTTGGCCAAAAGCAAATAAACATACTGCGTGTAACTAATGTCCTTGCACACTGGTTACGGTGTTGCATTAATCATCAATTACTCAACTTCTTATTTTAAATGCCACATCTTCTCAAAAGCAACTTCTCAACAGGATAATTAGCTGCTGCACACACAGGATCCTAAAGGGATCATCTGAAAGGTTGTAGCTCATGTGAATTCTATTACAGTCACAGATATTATGGTACTAAAGAAAGAGCATTTTTAAATCAATGATACCTGTATATGTAGCGTAAGTATATGTACGTGTGTCTTGTTTTTCATGTTTATGTTATTCGTAATGTAATGCGTTATGTGAATAGGTCTGCACCAGACCTTCAGTTCACCTATAGGCCAGGATGGGCAGTCTATGTGGTGAGTGTACTGGTGCAGAATGGCTGCAGGCAGGTGCCACACGGTGGTGGTGGCTGAAGTGGTTCCCAATTGCTCCTGTAAAGCGCTATGTTCACGTAACATTCGTTCATTCATCTTAAAGAAGCTGCTGTTTTTTCACCATAACTACTTCAAGTTAACTGAGAGTGTATGTATATAAATAAATATATATACAAGCAATAATCCATAGTGGTTCACTCTAGCACAGAAGTTGGGCAGGAGGCCAACATGTGCCTCTTAGCAGTGACATTTAAATACTCAAACTTATCAGTCATCAGTTTACCTTTGGTAATGCCAAGCAGCCCGTCTGAAAGCCAAAGCTGACATTTCCTGCAAGAACAGCAATAGCAGAAGAGAAATCCTTCGATCTGTAGGCCGGCATGCAGTTGTTTGTCTGCTTCTTGCTCTGACCAGAAAATTGGGCCATGTTGCCATGTGATTATTGATTTTGTTGCACCTTCCCCCAATTTTTGCTGTGAATGCCTAGCAGAATCTAAATAGCATTATGTTATAAAAAGAATCTTCATTCAGAATGGTACTAGCTTGTTTTCTTTTCATCTTTTACTGAGCAAAAGTGCAGATATAGTGAAATGACTCAAAAGATCTTGAAATCTTACATGAACTACTGCTATAGTATAATTACAGATACAGCTTGAAGAGATGATTGGCACTGTGTTACAGGATGGACTGCTGGGGAGGGGGGTGGTTTAAGTAATTAAAAACAGGAGGCAAGTCATGTTTGTTTTTCTGCAAAAAAAAGGAACTAAAAGATGATTTACAGACGTACAAAAGCTGTAGTTTTTCAGTAGTAATAGTGTTTTTTGTAGAATATCACTGTCTTTCAAAGAATTAAAATAATTCTGAATGAAACACTAATTAATGTTCCTATTTATATACAGTATATGACACTTATTTGTCAACGAACCAATCACTTATCCTGAGTTCAGGTCACAGAGTGGAGGGGGGATTTAAAGCCAAACCCTTCAGCCTTATGCACCGAACCAACGCGTCATGGTAGGCCATATTGATTCTGGTATTAGTACATGGGTTTTGGCATCCCCTTTGCGTTCGCCTGGCGGCGCTGTTGTCCTGTCCTGCGCGGGACTGCGTATGGGCGGGGCGATGGGCGGGGCAATGGGCGGGGCCAGCGCGCTGCCAGCGCCGGCTCCCGGCCAAGCAGTTTAAATCCGAGGGAGGGAAAAGGCGGAGAGAGCGGGTCTGGGTCTGTGTGAGGGCGGCTGAAGTGCTGCTGGAGCGGCCGAGAGGAGTGTCTGTCAGCGGACTACGGCACTAAAAAGCCCGACTTGCGAAGGGCGAAGGGCTGCGAGCGTACAGTGACCATGGTAAGGCGTCAAACTGCACGTACTGATGGCTGGTATCCTAAATAACAAATGTGCTGTTACCTTCCTACCTTTAAAAAAACATATTGCAATGTGTTTTTCTAAGAAATCCTAAATTAATTTTTTATTGATTTACGCTGGGTTATATTTGGTCTTTTTTGGATCTGTATATTTCATTATTTGAGTGCTAGTTTATGTATTCTGTTAATTACCCGCTTTTACGAAAGATAACTGACCGCCTACGAGTGGCAAATAAACTATGTATGCAGGTTAACGGGTAGTCCAACTTGCACTCGATATCCCCGTACCCTAGAACTAATTTAAATATGCAGTTCACACGTAAACACTAGTTTGTCATACAAATAGAAAAAGGTGGGATCGTACTTTTGCTTATGGTACCAGATGTTTTCACTGACTAAAAAAGAACTAGTAAGATATTTTATCTTTATAGAGCCCTGAATTACATGCTTCTTGGTATTTGGAAGAGCTAAGTTACATCCGTGAGTTTCAGCAGTGTGTGGCCACAGACTCAACTTCATGCGTTTAGAATAGATGGATGCATTTCGTCTGATATTTGGCGAAGTCGTCGCTACTTAAGCGCAGTTAGAATATAATCTTTGTACGTCTGTTGAAAACCCCTAAATATATAAGTACATGAATGGTTACGGTTTCTTGACACTTGTTTACAGTGTATTGTCAGCGCACATTACATCCCTGTAAGATATTGCTTGGAGCATGTCCGCAGTATTCGCTGCATGAAACACTGGAGGTTATTGTGGTAGGTGAGAAGAGCCTTACCACGGTAAAATGAAGGCTGCGGCGTTTGCAGTTTTTCGTGCTGTTTGTCTCCAGTGTCAGTCTTATT